ACGCACCGCCCAGATCCGTCCACGCGCCACCCAGATCCATCCACGCGCCGACGCAGATCCGCCCAGATCCCTCCACGTGCCACCCAGATCCGTCCACGCGCCACCCAGATCCGTCCACGCGCCGCCCAGATCCGTCCACGCGCCGCCCAGATCCGCCCAGATCGCCGCCCAGATCCGTCCACACGCTGCCCAGATCGTCGCCCAGATCCGGCGACCGTCCACGGGCTGCTGCCGATCGTCCGTACGCACAGCTTCTGCTGCTGCTGCTTTGTTTCGTAGCTCCCGGACAAAGGTTGGTTTTCAATCTCCCTGATTTGCTTATACTGTTCATCTTCCCAGCAGTCCAGTCCACCAAAGATCTTGGTCAACACACTCCAGCTGCTGTCTTGGGAAGTTACTGCTTCATTACTTTAAATTTTCTATTATTTGCAAACTGCTGCAAATAATAGCTTTTTCTCCTTTAGTTCTACTGCCTTGAAGCATTGACCCCTCGATAGGTTTTATTTTTGATTTCTCATTTGTTTTGGTAATATTAGCTTTTCACTCTTCAAAAAAAAAGTAAAAAAAACGTCTTTTATGAGTTCTGACAGAGGAAACAACACCGGATGCTCAAGATGGAATCGTCCTCAATGTGATTTTTGTCATAAAATTGGTCATACTATAGACAGGTGTTGGCAATTACATGGGAGACCCCCTCCTTCAGCCCATGTTGCTCAGCTACCGCCATCTCCCATTGTTCTATCACCGGAAGAATATGCATCATTTCAGCAATTTAAGTTGGCTAATATGCATGTATCCACACACGGGATGTCTACCGCTTGTGTTTCAAACGCAATAAGCTCATGGATCATTGACTCAGGTGCCTCAGACCATATTTCTGGTAATCCCCATCTTTTATCCCATATTACCAAGCACCAACATCTTCCTTTGATTACTCTTGCTAATGGCCTTCAAACTTCGGCTTCGGGTATTGAGCAAGCACTTCCACTTTCATCCTTACCATTAGACTCAGTCTTATATGTCCCAAACACCCCTTTTAACCTTGTCTCTGTCAGTAAAATTACACGTGCTCTTAATTGTTTCGTAACATTTTCTGCTGATTATGTGATTGTGCAGGACCGTTGTACGGGAAAACGATTGGCGTCGGCCATGAATCTCAAGCTCTGTATCATCTCCATCCTCTTGATCCAACCGTTTGTGTTTCAGTTGAACCTGCTATTACCTTACATAACCGTCTGGGTCATCCTAGTCTCTCAAAGTTTCAACATATGGTACCAGGTTTCTCAAATCTTTCATCTTTAGATTGTGAGTCATGTCACCTCGGAAAACAACCTCGTAAATCCTTTCCAAGGCGAGTCAATAAACGGACTACATCACCGTTTGATTTAGTTCATACAGATGTATGGGGTCCGTATCGAGTCACTTCTACTCTAGGTTTCCGTTATTTTGTTATTTTTGTGGATGATTTTTCCCGTTACACATGGTTATTTTTAATGAAAGAGCGTTTTGAATTGTTTCATATTTTTCAAACTTTTTGTGCTGAAGTTCAAACTCAGTTTGGTCATTCTATCAAAATTTTACGCAGTGACAATGCTAAAGAATTTTTTGGTGCATCCTTTTGTGACAATTCATGGCATCACGGGGTATGCTTCACCAATCCTCTTGTGTTCACACGCCTCAACATAATGGGGTTGCTAAACGCAAGAACCGACACTTGGTTGATACTGCTCATACCCTATTATTACATTCTCATACACCACCTCAGTACTGGGCAGATGCTATGCTCACTGCGTGTCATTTAATCAATAGAATGCCTTCCTCAGTTCTTAACAATGAAATTCCTTATTCTATTTTGTTTCCTGCTCATGATTTATTTCCATTACCACCTCATGTGTTTGGGTGTGTGTGTTTTGCCCATGATACGACACCTGGATTAGCTAAAATGTCGGCTAGGTCAATAAAATGTATCTTTCTTGGATACTCGCGACTCCAAAAAGGATATCGTTGTTATTTTCCATTACTTAAGAAACATTTTATTTCAGTCGATGTCACTTTCATTGAGTCGTCCTTTTATTATCCATTATCTTCGGTTGATACCCCATCATGTTTGGACTTCACCTCATATCTCCGGCCCATCCATCTGGAGACTCCCATTAACCCCCCATCTGATGAGCACCCAAATTGCTCTCCTATGGCAGACCGTCCATTACAGGTATACCATCGATGTCCTCGACCTCCTCCCATTGTGCCCATTGTGGCCACGCCAGTTGAATCCCCTATGACGGGTCCCGCACCATCACCATCAGATACCCCAGTATCCGAAATTACTCAGGATGATTTGCCCATTGCTCTCCGAAAAGGTATGCGTTCTACTTCGAATCCACATCCCATATATAACTTTTTGAGTTATCACCGCCTCTCTACCCCTTATTATGCTTTTATTTCCCACCTGTCTCATATATGCATTCCTAAAACCACACATGAGGCACTAGCACACTCGGAATGGCATAAAGCCATGTTGGCTGAGATGGAGGCTCTTCATTCAAGTGGGACGTGGGACTTAGTCCCCCTTCCCACTGGCAAATCAATGGTGGGATGTCGGTGGATTTACACAGTTAAGGTTGGGCCTAATGGGGAGATTGATCGTTTTAAAGCACGCCTTGTGGCGAAAGGGTATACTCAGATATATGGATTGGATTACAGTGACACTTTTTCTCCTGTAGCGAAGATTGCATCAGTTCGTTTGGTTTTATCCATGGCAGCAATGAGCCACTGGCCATTGTTCCAATTGGATATTAAAAATGCATTCCTTCACGGAGATTTGCATGAGGAAGTTTATATGGAGCAACCACCTGGGTTTGTTGCTCAGGGGGGGTCTGGTATGGTGTGCAGATTACGTCGTTCATTATATGGCTTGAAGCAATCTCCACGTGCATGGTTTGGGAGGTTTAGTGCCGTTGTCTGCAACTTTGGCATGATTCGCAGTGATGTCGATCATTCTATATTCTATCGACATTCTGCTGGCAACAAATGTATTTATCTTGTTGTGTATGTTGATGACATTGTCATTACAGGTAACGATGATCAAGGAATTGCGCTCCTCAAGCAACATCTCTTTAGCAAATTTCAAATAAAAGACTTGGGAAAGTTGAGATACTTCCTTGGCATTGAGGTCGCACAGTCTCAAAATGGAATTGCTCTCTCACAAAGAAAGTATGCCTTGGATATTCTTGAGGAAACATGTTTGCTAGATTGCAGGCCAGTGGATACACCAATGGATCCAAACGTTAAACTCTTATCAGAACAGGGAGATCCTTTTCCCAACAAGGAAAAATATAGAAGACTCATCGGCAAATTGAATTATCTTACCATCACGAGACCAGATATTTCATTTGCGGTAAGTGTTCTTAGTCAGTTTCTTGATAAGCCATGTACTGGACATTGGGATGCAGCTATCCGAGTTTTGAGATACATCAAGAAAACTCCGGGGCAAGGATTGTTGTTTGAAGATCGAGGCCACCATGATATTGTGGGATACTGTGATGCAGACTGGGCCGGATGTCCGATGGATAGACGTTCCACTTCGGGATATTGCATCTTGATCGGTGGAAACTTAATTTCATGGAAAAGTAAGAAACAGGATGTGGTTGTCAGATCTAGAGCTGAAGTAGAATACCGTGCAATGGTCCTTGCTACATGTGAAATCTTATGGTTGAAGCATCTCCTCCAAGATTTAAAATATGGAAACACAAAACCAGTTCAACTCATGTGTTATAATCAAGCTGCAATGCACATCGCATCAAATCCGGTATATCATGAGAGGACAAAACATATTGAGGTTGATTATCATTTTATCCGAGAGAAGATCGCGAGTGGACATATCATCACAAAATATGTCAACACAACTGAACAACTTGCAGATATTTTAACTAAGTCTCTTAGAAGTCCAAGAGTGGGATATATTTGTAACAACTTGGTACATCTGATTTATATGCTCTAGCTTGAGGGGGAGTGTGGAAACCCTAGTAGTATTGGGCTTAGCCCATTTGTATATCTTGTATAGGAAACCCTAGTACTCTAAATATAGCTGTAAATATAGCTTTTTGTATAGCATTTTAACATCAAGTATATGAAATACAACAATACTTGTTCACAGGAATAAAGTGGCTTTTGAGCTTCAAGCTTGGGCAACGGTTGTTACCGTTGATTGTTATTTTTCTGCTCTCATCATATTACGACATTTCTTAAATCTGGTATATGATTTACATATAAAAAGAGGGAGATTTGCAATTTTAGTCCTGTAACTTTCTGCTGTTATCGTTTTTGATCCTGTAACTTTAAGCACTAGCAAATTTGGTCCTGTAACTAATAAATCTTTGTAATTTAAGGACTTTCCCACCGGAAAGTACACTTTCCGGCGGAAAAGTTCGACGACGCCGACATGTTTTCCGGTATGCTCTTGCCGGAAAGTGTACTTTTCAGGGGAAAAGTCCTTGAATCACAAATATTAATTAGTTAGAAGACCAAATTTGCAAGTGACTAAAGTTACGGGACTAATAATGATAATGGTTGAAAGTTACGGGATGAATGTTGTAAATTTCCCTAAAAAAGATGGAAAGGAAATAGTTGGCCAAAGGGGGAAGAAGTATCTGCTCTTATGAAGACATGAAGGGCTTAAGGTGCATGGTAGTTAAAATCGCGACTTGGCTCGCTTGGTTTAAAAAAGCACGCCTGAGGCGCGCGAAGGCACGTGGCGCCCTAAGACGATCGCTTTATCGCATCTTACATCCCCAGGCGGAGTAGGTTCCAAGAGGCATGCCTTATATGGCGCTTTTTGACGCCTTTTGCGCGTCCGAGAGGCGTGCGATTCTCAGGCTTCATGGAACTGTCTTTTGGCGATTCAGCCTCTCTAGTCTCTCTAGTCTTCTCCATTCTTCCTTCTGCGTTTGCTTTGCTTCCTAACGTCCTGTTTCTTCCTTCTGCATTTGTTTTATCGCAAGTCCTGTTTCTTCCGCTGCTGTCTCGCGTCGCGGGCCAGGACTCGCAGGCAAGTATTTTTTTCTTCTACTGTTTGTTCTCTTATGCGTGTGATAGTTTATTAATTAAATATGTATTATTTTTATATTTTATTACCTTGAAATCGTAGATTTACTACCTCTGTCGGTGTGTTCTAGATCATGCTGAGTAGGGTACCTAAATATTTGTTTTTATTTAACAAATATAGAAGACAGTTTTTATTATTAACAATTTTTTATATAACAGTATATTAATTATGTTTTGGAGTTTAAGATTGCGTTTTGTGACTTAACTTTTGGCAATGATGCCGTTTAATATACATAGTATATTACTTGCTACTGTCTTAATAAATGTTGGGTTTCTATTATGATGTTTATTAAGTTTGTTTAATAGTTTGAAGTATTTTTGTGATGTGATCACTTTTTTAGAAGAGTGCTTCGTGTAGAAGTAGTATAAATATATTTTACCACAGATATGATGTTAAGATTCGTGCCTCGCCTCGCTGCCTCGGGTAAATCAATGAAAATGCCTCGTGCCGCCTCGGTTCTTTTAAAATTAAGTTGGCTCGTAGGATCGTACAATTATACGATTCCTAGGAACTCCTGCGATCCCGTTTCTGATGAAGATCGCAAAATGATAAGAATCACTGGGATCGTCGTGTTAACTTGCAGGAACGTAGAATTGCAGATGAATCGTGATTAGTTCCTTTTAGTTGTCGGAAATATTGAAAATTTCCGACTTTTAGGAAATGTTAAAAAAAAACGAAGAGTACTGACTTGGGAGAAACGTGCGGAAAGTTAAAACAACATGTTCGCCCCTTCAAAATTTACGGAAATTTTCATGTATATATAGAATACGGTAACGAGAAGCATCTGAACACCTGTTAATCCCCCTTGCACCTGTGAATTGTCTCTTCATATCTCCATATCTTCTGCAGTTTTTTGTTGAGTCCTTGCTCCCAGGTCTTCATCTGTTATTAGCTTCTGCGTCAACCTCCATGTCATTTTTTAGTGATGTTTTTCTTTTTTTAGATCCCATTAGAAACTCTAATGTTATTACAAGAGTGTTCCATTATAATATTATGTGGAGTATTATAAACAGATTTTAAGGTTTAGAGTTAGTTCCTTTAAACTAATATTATTTCCATTGTTTTACGAAATATTATATACTCCGTATTATCTTGTCATTCATATCTTATACCTAAACTACTTTGCACACCCCAAATATATACACACACATACACATACATATATATAGTGTATATATTATACATATATATACATATATACATAATACATCTATATATATATAAAACCCTAGACTAGCTCCGGAGATTGTGGAGGCGTGATGGTGGCGCCGGCAGCATGGGCTTCATGGAAGCCTTTCCCTAGGTCTTTTGGACCAACGTCACGTTCTATTGAAGTTTGATTCGGAGGAAGATTTTCAGCGTTGTTGGTTACGTCAAACATGGAGTATTCGAGGATTCCGCATGAAAGTTACAAGGTGGATGCCTGATTTTCGTCCTGACGTTGAATCGTCAATCGTGCCTGTTTGGGTTACACGGGACGGTTTGCCATTGCACTTGCAAGATAAGCGTGCATTATTTTCCATTGCAGGGATGATTGGTAAGCCTCTTAAGGTAGATGCGGCGACGGCAAATTTATCTAGACCATCCACAGCTAAGGTGTGTGTGGAGCTTGACCTGCTCCAGGAAATCCCTTCCAAAGTGTTGATTATGCATGGTAAAAGGGAAATTATACAACAAGTTACGTATGAAGATTTGCCAAAATATTGTGTTAAGTGTAGTAGAGTGGGGCATGCTAAAGAGGAATGTGGGATTCCTAAGGCTAGGCTGGAGGGGGATCAAAACAGGCACCACGTAAAGGGGCAGGCTCCAGCTAAAGAAGTCATACGCAAGGATCATAGGGCTCCTGATAACTGGATCCAGGTTACTAAAAAAGGCAAAGGAAAGGAGAAAGTGGTAATTCATGGGGATATTGCTGAATCCTCTAAGCGAAGGGAGATTGGCACTGCTTTGGTGGTAGCAGGATCGACTGACATGCCCGAGTCAAATGGGGGAAGGAAAGGTGCTCCTAATAATGAACCGAGAGTGGATTAGGTGCCACATATAAATGCTGATCAAGCAGGAAAGATGGGGGCGAAGGTGATAGATGATTCCATGGTTCAAGGAATAGTAAGGCAGGAGGCTGCTGTGGTGGAGGAAGGGGAGATTCAGGATGGGCATGATGCTGAGATAGCGAGTGATGCGGCAGATTCCAGAGATATTGGTATGGGCTGTTCTATTAAGGCCACTACGGATGTTACTAAGTCGATATCTTTTGAAGATGGCAATATTCATGATGAGGATGGGGAATTGGTTTCGGATGGTATTGTTTCGGAAGGGGAACCAGTTCAAGTGGATGAGGTTACTTTGGAATCTTGGAAATCAGTGTGTAGGGAGCTTACAAAGAAGGTGGAACTTATACAGCAGGAACAAGTAGAAGCATTGGGAGTTGTTTCCAGGAAAAAAACCAAAGAGGCTCCTCCTCGATCGGTCACAACAAGGTTGGCGGCCAAAAGGAACAACAAGGAGGGATCCTTGGAGGTTTCCTTATGAAGCTATTCACATGGAACGCGTGTGGCCTTGCTTCTGCTTGCCCAAGGCTACGTGAGATGGTTAGGCAGGATTGTTTAGATTTTATTGCTATAATTGAACCGATGGTAAGCCCCAATAGTGGAGTTTATTATGTGAATAGTTTGGGTTTCTCTAATTTATTTATGTCATCTTCAAATAAGATCTGGATCATGTGGAATTCTACGGTTTTTGAAGTCGTTTCGGTGGTTGATAAGGATCAGTTTTTGGTTGTTAAGATGAGGTTTGTTCCTCATGATTTTACTTTCACTTTTTCTCCTGTCTATGGGAAACATACTCGAACGGAGAGAGCTAGGCTTTGGGAGGATTTATTAGGCCACACCAGAGATGAGAAGGATGCATGGGTCATAGGAGGGGATTTCAACATTGTATCATCTCTGGATGAATATAAAGGTCCCTCGGTGCCACTCAGGGGGGATATGATGGATACGTGGAACTTATACAGCAGGAACAAGTAGAAGCATTGGGAGTTGTTTCCAGGAAAAAAAACCAAAGAGGCTCTTCCTCGATCGGTCACAACAAGGTTGGCGGCCGAGAGGAACAACAAGGAGGGATCCTTGGAGGTTTCCTTATGAAGCTATTCACATGGAACGCGTGTGGCCTTGCTTCTGCTTGCCCAAGGCTACGTGAGATGGTTAGGCAGCATTGTTTAGATCTTATTGCTATAATTGAACCGATGGTAAGCCCCAACAATGGAGTTTATTATGTGAATAGTTTGGGTTTCTCTAATTTATTTATGTCATCTTCAAATAAGATTTGGATCATGTGGAATTCTACGGTTTTTGAAGTCATTTCGGTGGTTGATAAGGATCATTTTTTGGTTGTTAAGATGAGGTTTGTTCCTCATGATTTTACTTTCACTTTTTCTCCTGTCTATGGGAAACATACTCGAACGGAGAGAGCTAGGCTTTGGGAGGATTTATTAGGCCACGCCAGAAATGAGAAGGATGCATGGGTCATAGGAGGGGATTTCAACATTTTATCCTCTCTGGATGAATATAAAGGTCCCTCGGTGCCACTCAGGGGGGGATATGATGGATTTTAGAGACTGTATCGATGCTTGTAATCTCTTGCAACTTCCCACTATTGGGTCAACATACACATGGTCTGGTGTTCGATCTAATGGTCGGTTATGGGAAAGACTGGATAGATACTTGTTTAATCATCAATTCCGTGAAGCTTTTGAAAATGTTAACATTCATCATTTAAGCAAAGCTTCATCGGATCGTTGTCCAATTTTGCTTTTGTGTGAGTTAGCACAGGTTCGTTCGCCCTCTCAGTTTCGTTTTCAAACCATGTGGTTTACGCATCAAGACTTTCTGTCTTTTTTTGGGAAAAAATGGGCAGAATATCCCATGATGGGCGGTATGAGGGGTATTTTCCTTAAACTAAAGTTGTTAAAGTCAGATCTACGGGCTTGGAATAAAGAAGTGTTTGGTGATGTTTTTGAGGAAGTCAAGAGGCTAGAGAATGACGCTTTATTGGCGGAAAAAGACTGAAGAAAATCCCTCGGAAGACACTAGAGCTGCATGTTATAAAGCAAATGCTGTTCTATTAAAAAGGGTTAAGCAAAAAGAGATTTATTGGAAACAAAAAGCCAATGTTAAATGGATTAGGGAAGGGGATGCTAATTCCAATTCATGCAATGGTGAAGGATAAAGTTCGTAAACAGTTTATTCGAGCCATAAAGAGGGATAATGGGGATTGGGTGTATAATGCCCAGGACATTGGGGAGGAGGCAGTTAAGTTTTTTGATAAACTGTATAGCTTTGAACCAACTGGTGGGTATGACAAAGTGCTCAAACATATACCCAGCATTCTATCTGATCAGGATAATGAAGCTTTAGTACAGTTACCTAATGAGAAAGAGGTAAGGGAAGCTGTGTGGAGCCTTAGTGCAGATGCTGCTCCGGGACCGGATGGTTATGGGGGAAGTTTTTATAAGGGTTGCTGGGAGATTATTAAGCAAGACGTTGTTCTGGCAGTCCAAGTATTTTTCTTGGGGGTGGCAATTCCGAAGGGAGTAGGGAGTGTAAATCTGGTCCTTATTCCGAAAAAGAAAAATCCAGTCTCGTTTGGTGATTTTAGACCAATCTGTCTTTCTACTTCTCTTAGCAAAATCAATACAAGAATCCTAGCTACTAGAATGGCTCACTTGCTGCCTAAAATTATTTCCAGTGAACAGTCGGGCTTTATGAAGGGTAAGGAGATGCAGTATCAGGTTTTGAATGCTTTGGAAGTGTTACATAACTTGGATAAGAAGGTGAGGGGATCCAACATGGTTGTTAAACTTGATATGGCTAAGGCGTTTGATAGAGTGGCTTGGGGTTTCTTGGATGCTATCTTAGAAAAATTTGGCTTTTCTGGACATGTTAGGA